CTGCACAATAATGTGTCCTGGAATAGAACAGGCACCCAGTGCTGCTCCTTTGGAGCCCAGAAAACGGAGACTGGCTTCTCTGAATGCCAGGGCAGTGAATAACCTCCTGTTTGAGCGGGATGATGGCTTATTATCTGGCAGGCGCTTTCGGAAAGACACTGTCAAAGCCAGTGTAGATTGTAGCACGAAGGGCTTGCACTGCAAAGCTAGTGGCAACTGGCCCTCATTGGGAAAACCAGCTGTAAAAACAGTTAAAGGAAAGAATCAGAGTGGCTCCAGTCACAAATGCAATAGCTCTGACCATACATTGGATGATGTCTTTGAAGATGGAACAAAGAGGGAGGATAGTGGAATTCCCTATCATCCTACCCCAAAGAGATTGGCCAGCCTCAATGCTGTGGCATTTTTGAAACTGACCAGTGAAAAAGATCAACCTCTGAAGCCAAGGAGTAAATCAGATGGAGAGGGCAAGTCTGAGAATCACTGTTCCAAATCAAGGCTTAAGTGGGCTAAAGCCAATAGGAAGAATTGTGTTAAATCCAAAAAGGAAATGTCCAATGTAAAAATGGAGGGTCCACATGGCTGGCAAGGATTTCCTGCAAGTTCTTTTAGGAAAGCAGACCACCAGGACTCCTCTAGACTCCATGGGAAAATTGATTCTCTCCATTATGAACCATTATCTAATTCCTATGATAGCACAGAGGGTTTCTACCACAGACTGCCTTTGCTTATGGGTGGGCAAGCTTCCATGAAGCCTGAGTATGGGAGACCTGGGGAAAAATCCCCTACTCCCAAACAGGAATTTCATCAGCCTTCCTTCCCCGTGCAGCAGTTCCATCCCTTGCCTGTGCCAGGAAATCACACAGAGTGTGGATGTCTCTGTGAAACTTCAGATTTGACTCCATTGAACAGGTTTTATGTTTATTATGGCCAAAGTGGATACAGTGGCTACTCTCACTGCTCAGTTTACCCTAAGGATGAGCTTTCACAGCCTACTTGTGAGGGGCTCTTAGTATCTCCAACTTCCTTACCATCAGGTACACCTTTCCAGCCACTTCACTGGTGTAACTCTCCATATTGTTGTGGGGAAGGAACAGCTGTTAACAGTTACAGTCTTTGTGGAGTTATGCAGGTGCCAGAGAGTAGGATTAGCAGTGTGCATACAGGACGGAACAGCTACTCCTACAAAATGCCTTTTGCAGCAGGTAAGGCAAAGTAATAAATTGAGATCTTAGCATGCCTAAGTGAGGGGGCTTAGATTAGTGCATTAATAAGTGTGTGGGTGGGGGGAGGAATCTTGTTGCCTGTATATGACCAAGTAAGAGGCATGCTTCCTATGCATTCGATTCAGCTAAATCTGAGACGTGTACTGTCTGTTGGTAAGGAAGATTCAGCATTTAGCTACACTTGCAGATGCTATGGTATCCCTTCCTTTTCCTCTGAAGGCTCTGTTTCCATTAAAATGTTTTATGGGGGTGGAAAAATTGAATCATGAGGCTGGTAATAAGATTTGGAGTAGAAGGAAGGTGGTCCTTGGTTTGAATTCTGTTCGGGTTAGTGATAACCCCAGTATAATGCCCATATGATCAATGGGAAATGAGGGAGTGGTCTATTAAGTTCCTAGCAGACGAGTGGTCGGGTTTGCCAGACTGCCACCATTGTGTATAAGAGCTGTAGTTCAGAGTCCCAGCTAAATCCAAAGGCTGCTCTTGCCCTTGGAGATTGAATGACCGTTTCAGCCCTACATTGGCTCACTTTAGTGAAGGGTTGAGGTGTGCTGGTAGGGCAGTGTATGGAAACTGGCAGTGCCTTCTGCTCTATATCTGGTCTGCAAACAATGAAATTCCCAAAATATATGTTATTGGGCTCCCACAAAATCTTCTAGTTGCATTTTTTTCTCTCTTCTGAATGCACCGGAATTACTGACTATTTCAACAGATACTACCTATGATCGGGCACTGACCTGCTCCTGTCCCTTCTGTAGCCACAAATGGCTCGTAGTCTACCTTCTAGGCAAACATCCTTGTGCAGTGATTTGCAGTGTTCTGTCAGACTTGTGTGGCTCTGTATTTACAATGGCACTACTCCTATGCTCTCGCTCTATGCCAAGGGTGGATGGGGAGAGACAAAAGGTATCTTCGTTCCAGAAGAGCTTTCCTGGTTCTTCCTCTGACCCTGAAAGGCTTGCCTGCCTGCCATTCCCTGACTCCCCTCCCCCCCCCTGCCCCTGAGCACATCCTTCTTTGTATGTCCTATTTTCTGGGCTGATGGATTCATTAGTCTTGTAGCTCTCTTGCCCATCCCCAATATATCAATTAGGCACAGCTTTGCTTCTTAGATTTCCTCTGTGGTGATTTAACGAGTGGTCCAGTGATCAGAGTGCTGTATAGCTGCTGTTGCCCAGCACTCTGCCACACAGCCCAGTTTGGAAAAACACCAAAAGATGCTAGCAATGAGATTTAATTAGCACCCTTGTAGATTGAGCTAATTAATTCACTGAATGTCAGTGGATTATTGAGATCTTATTAGATACCTTTCCCTGGTTTTGTGTTTAGCCTGTGAGACACTGAAACCCAGAATTGTAATAGGTTTAATACATGGTTCAGGTGTTTGCATAACTAGACTTTGTACTATGTTTTTATCCAGGAGCTTTGCCATCACTATATAGAAAAGTTTCTGTTTTGAAATATTTAAAACTGGCAACCAAAATTGTTGTGCCAGAGCAAACATACATTTTCAGCATTAAAACCACCAAGTTAGAAAGGAGGGGTATGTTGCTATTACGAAATTACAGTATAATCTACAAATGAAGCTTGCTTCATCTGCCTCTGGGACAGAATTGCCTTGGAAGGTGCAGCTACATGCAGCAATGCTGTACAGTTTAGGACACAAAGGAAAGGATAACTTATCCAATTAAAACTACTGAGGATATTAGGGAGGCAGGTGAATCTTCTGAGTCAGGAGTACAGGATGAGATGGGCTTTATGATCTCCTTCCATTCCAAGAAGGAGCTGTAATTCAGGAGCACTTGAGCAAAGCAGAGATTTCCTTTTCTAAAATATATCTCTGTTGACCTGGTGCAACCCTCTACCCTGAGGGCTAGACAGTATATAGTCTTTTCATAACTGAAAATTCTCTTGGGAAGACTAGTTCAGAAATAAGAATACTGATCTTTGACATACTGCTCTGGGTCATGCCAATCTGTGCTGTACCAAAAGGAACTTAGTCAGGCACCTTAATGATGCTAGCTTAACATTCAGATGAAAGGGATCTGAGGAGGTTTTGGTGGTGCTCTGTGTGATTCCCTATGGAGAGGGTGAATGTTGATGCCCTATGGAGAGGGAGAAGATAGATGTTTTCCCTTCTTGGAAAGCTAATAGGTTAGCAACGAGTAGAGCCAGTCTGTCCCACAGATAGGATTTCTCCAACTCGTATTTCTCCAGACTTTCCCTGTGTAGATTTTTATTTTTAAAGGCATGTGACAGGGTAGCACACATCTTAAATGTGGTGCATTTGGGTTGTGTATGTTCAAAAGTGTGGGTTGCACCTATATTATCTTGCCTTCCTTTCTGAGTAGCTTCCATTTAGAATTCTGCAAAATTGGAACAGCCTAGAGTTTCTGCTTTTGCTGAGTGAAGTGTGGAGGGAAGCTTCTTCTAGCATAAGTAAAGTTTAATGTTCTAGAGCTGATCTTGAGAAACAGATCCCAAGTCTTTCCTGGAAAGGCCAGCTTCAGTGCATTAAAGCATTTCTTTAACTTGACTGTCTTATACAGAGACAACAACTCTCCATGTATTGCCAGCTTGACATATCAAGTGCTTTGCCTCTATCTGTTGTTAGGTTAGCTGGGTACCCAGTAGAGCCAAACTGCCCTTGTAGAAGTAACTAATTTTGAATGCTGTCATCCTGATAGTTATGGAATTAGTTACATACTGGTTATAGATAATAGTCATCATTTTACAGCAGACGGGTGTTAGTCTTGTGCTCAGAGTAGTAGAGATGTTAAATTTAGATTAATTAGCTAATCAAATTTCCATTGACTATTCGTTAGTCTATAAGGGAGCCTCTGCCTTTGAACTGTAGCAAGAGCCCTGCTGGGAAGGAAAAAAACTGGAAGCCCCACAGTGTGGGACCGCCTCGCTGGCCCTGCGGCACCTGAGCCTTGGAAATGTACAAGAGCATGGGCTCTTGTACATTTCAAAAGGAAGCCCCACAGGGAGAAGGAGACTCTCTCACTGACTCCTCATTCCATGAGGTGCCTCAGCCTTGAAATTTCAAAAGCAGAATCATAGCGGAAGTGGCGCGAGCAAAGACTGCTTCAGCCTCTGCTCATGCTGTTTGCTGTTGTGCCTCTACCTCCCCTGCTACTCATGGAGATGATGCTGGTACAAACCAGCTTTTAAGCCAGCTCCTGCTCCCCCTCCCTTGCTCCCTTTCTCTGATAGAGGCAGCAAGGCAGGGAAAATGACTAATCGCATCACTAGTCAACTATCCGATAAGCTTCTGTTTATTTGATAGTCGACTAGTCTCTTACATCCCTACAGAGTAGCACAATGCCCTGTAAGAATGAGTTGCCAATCTCATTTCTTGAGGAGAGTATATTCACTTGTAGGTGAACAATGGGAGTCTCCTGTATAGAGGTGAAGGGCTGGGTGGGTGCCATGGGCAGTGCTCCTGTGCCATATCAAGCAGAGAATGAGGGAATTCTTGTGTTCCAGTGACAGCAGTCTGCATGCAGGGTAATGGGGTTAAGACATGGATGAGGAGATGGCCACAGTAGTTATCTAGTTTTAAACATGGGGGATTCTTCATTGATAGCATTTCCAACCAATGAATTAATGAGCAGTGAGGTGGTGGTAGGGAAGTGAAATCAAGGCAAGACCATTTTTGGGGGTGGGAATAGTGCACACCAGCTGGGAATGTAAGACATAATAGGGTTCGTGTACTCCTATTGAACACCTGGTGAAAAGAATCTTACCCTTCTTGAGGCATGGGTAGCTATTAGTGTGAAGCTGTTTGTCAGGGCTTGTGATCTAAATGTCCTTGAGGCTGCTTCATTACTATCCAGGTCATCTGTGGAATTAGTGTGGGAGCCGAGGCCATACATGGTGCAGCGTTCTAGTTCCTCATCTTCACATCTTTTAAGTACAGCTACTCAAAGTGGCTGTCTAAGGGATCCCAAATCTTGAGTCAAGGCAATGCCAGTTTTATCCATTTGTGAGTTTGTAAGACTTTCCTACGTCCGTCATTCTGGACTGTTTCCCCTTTATTAGTACAACTACTATGTTCTCCTTGTGTCTCCTGAATACTCTCCAACATTCTTCTTCCCACTTCACCATCTTTTAAACTCCCCCACAATTACCCACTAGCCCCATCAGCAAACAAGTCAGAGGCAAGCTGCTCAGTGACAGAAAACACCCCTCCTCCCAGGGGAACAGTGCTTGACATCTGTAGCTTTATACACTGCTACAAACCCAGCAAGCAGAGAGATCAAGAATCTTTCTGACCAGCTCTATTAGCTGTACTTGTTTTTATAGCTGTTACTGCTATCTGTGAATGCATCGTTCTTTTGTTACTGCTTCTATCTCCAAGGGTAGCGATCGTTTCATAACCTTTTACAGCTCACTGAGTGGGAGGCAGAGGGCAGCAGTTTCCCACTGTCTGGAGCAGTCTCAGCCATGCTTCACTCTGTAAATTGAATCAGTTATTACGCCAATTCTCCTAAATGCTTTGATTTTTAAGGCGGTGTCCACTTGGGGACCTGGAGATGTATCAAAGCAGCTGTCTTTGTGAACCTTAGTTCTGTCTGAGATTGCCTGAAGCTGCCCTGCTGGCATTTCCAGAATGCATGCTTTTTCAGATTTATGAAGCTTGGAGATTTTCATATGTACTGGACTATGTTATGGGAGCTCCCTCCCTACTGGAGTTGATAATGCCGTGTTACTAGACTAGTTCAGATCTAAGCTTCTCTCTTTTTTACTCAGGCTTATTTCATGGATTGAACACTTTTTGCACTGGGAATTTTGGATGTGTATTATCATTGTAAAATACTTTGGGATGCTTTTGGAAGGCTTTGTCTGCTGACATGCTAGCCTATCGTAGTAAATCTGTCAGCTTCTGAGATATGGCTATCCTAAAGGCAACAGAGCAGGGTATGTTTTAAGCTTGGCCCCATGTTTTATCATTGGTTTGAATCTCATTAGAGAAAGCTCTTCACTTTCACTGACTAAACTTAGTACCCAGGTTGGCACCTTGAAGGAAATTGGGCTTTTGGATTAATACAGAGAATAGATCTGATAAAGATGAAAGGGATCTCAAAGGTCATTTAGTCCACTACCCCATGCTGAGAAGCAAATCTAGACCATGCCTGACAGATGGTTAATGTGTAGTTTAGTCCTTTGCCAGTTCTCACTTCTCTCCCAGTGTAAGCTACTCACCTTTATGCATATATTTAGGCCAGAATCGCTGAAGTTTAGTATCACTTATGTTATGTCTAAATTACATGCCTCTGCCGACAGGAGCATGTAAAATAGGCTACCCGACATAGTTCAATGAAGAGGGGATTTAAATATCCCTGGCTTCATTAAAATAAAAATGGCCGCCACGCTGTGCTGGCTCAGCTGATTGTTGACCACTCCTGTAAATCCCTTTGTCGACCACTCCTGTAAATCTCGTTTCATGAGGCATAAGGGAGTGGTCACAAAGGCGTTCCCTGTCGACCGATCCGCGTTTTGACTCATGTGCTGTGCCGACGATCAGCTGAGCCGGCACGGCGCGTTGGCCATTTTTATTTTAATGAAGGCAGGGATATTTAAATCCCCGCTTCATTGACTATGTCGGGTAGCCTATTTTACATGCTCCTGTCGGCAGAGGCATGTAATCTAGACGTAGCCTTAGGGTGCTAACCCAACCCTTTGTACATGACAGGCTGGCACTATTAAGGGGAAAATCATATGGGTTTGTTGTAGGATGTAATTCACTGCCTTTTCAAAGCAATACACTCAAGTGTCATTGCTTTTTGAATTGAGCAGCAGTACAAAATGTTCTCTCATACAAGAAGTCCATGTTTACCTGAAGCATTAAGTATTCTCTACTGTCAGTAGAGCAATAAAGAGAATTCTGTAAGAGCGTATTGCTGAGCTTGGGATTGTCCTGCTAATTTAGTCATTATCAAGAAACCACCATACACAAAGCAATACACTCAAGTGTCATTGCTTTTTGAATTGAGCAGCAGTACAAAATGTTCTCTCATACAAGAAGTCCATGTTTACCTGAAGCATTAAGTATTCTCTACTGTCAGTAGAGCAATAAAGAGAATTCTGTAAGAGCGTATTGCTGAGCTTGGGATTGTCCTGCTAATTTAGTCATTATCAAGAAACCACCATACAAATATTCGGAACCCCAGACCATGGCCCGAGAGTGTCCACAGAGCTCCAAGCCCCCCAGTGGTTCCAAATCTGGTCTCCGAAATACTACGGGCTGTTTACATGCCTGTGATAGCAAAGCAGCAGGAGGTCACTCTCATCCAAAGCAGCAGCGCATCAGCAGGAGGAGAGCAACTAATGGCTGGATACCCGTGGGTGCAGCCTGTGAAAAGGCCGTGTATGTTGTGGTAAGTTTGTGAAAAATTCAACTTTCCTATGGATGCCTCCAGGAATGTTGCAGGGTAAACTGAGTTCCTGTAGGGACAAGGAAGGGAGGTTGGAGGAGTTCATGTAAGGTAGCTATGCATGCAGGTACAAGAGCATTCACCACAGTGACTCTCCTGTGGGGCGTCTGTAACAGCATGCTATCATTGGATGTCATCCAGCATTTTTTAACAAAGGAACAGTTGGATTGGTGCAAAACATTTTCCTTGGTCTTTAGGGCTCAGCCACTGGATTGTTGGATTCTTGTTCTTCCTCTGGTACAATTGCAGCACATAACCTGGTCTGCCCTTGAGTCTGGCATGATAGGCAAGCAGAGAAGAAGCCTAAAAGGAAAACTTGCTTCTCCTTCCTCCTCCCCCAGATAATTGATAAGTGCTGCTGGGTTTGTCGTGAGTGGGAGGTGTGACTGCCTCCCACAGCCAGGACACAGGTGCTGGAGCAGTGAACCCCAGAAGAGAAGTGGCAAGTGGTACCTTCTATTCCCACTACACAGAGTAAAGGAAACAAAAGTTTAAGGGCAATTCTGAGGTAAAAATAGCAACTGCCAAACTGCTTGAGCTCGTCTTATCAGCCACTGGTGGTGCCTGTAGCTCAGCAATAATTCTCCTCTGTTGCCTAGTGCACTGCATTGGGAAGGACATAGTCCATCCCATGGGGGGCCCCAATAGCCCACATCTTTTATGCCCTATTGATAGTGGCTTAACCAGCTCTTCTTCTCCATAGGGGTTTCCCAGCTAGGCTTCTCTTTCAACAGATCTGGCAATTGGAGCCTAGCAGAGTAGAGTTTGCCTTGTGAGGTCACTGTGCTGCATAGGGGTTACCCTGCTGTGCTATTTCATTCTATCCATAGAATCAAAGTACACACACAAATGGGGGGGGGGAAATCTGAAGGAAACTATCCCATGTCTTGGGGCAGTTAGACTCTGGCGTGCACTGCAGAGCTGAAAATAGCAGTGTAGACATTCCTGC